GATCCAGATCCACGAACCGATCCAGATCCACGAACCGATCCAGATCCACGAACCGATCCAGATCCACGAACCGATCCAGATCCATTTAACCCGTCAGTGATCTTAGGGGATCCTGACAGGGATCCCCTAAGATCACTGTGACCCCACCGCGGCCTGGTGGGGTCACATTGACTTAGGGGTTTGGATCCCAAACACACATCTCATCTTGGTTTGGACCTGGCAGGTATGCCAGAAGCCTGACTTGAAGCCAGGTCAAGACCAGGATGGCTTCAGGACTTCTGCTTCAGTGTCACAGTGTTTGTTGAGCTCAACTTCCTGTGGTCTTAAAACTCTGGGATCGACTCTTCTGGTCTCACCTCCAAACAGGGTGCCCTTCCATGTACGGCCCGCGATGAGCTGAATGGGTCGGGCGGCAAAATCATGCAGATCTGTCCAGCCGACGAGGACGCTGACACCCCAACCTTTCACACAAGACTCCAGGGCACTGCGCTGCACAGAGGAGCAGAGCACGTCAGACACCTGGGTTTATTTTCTAAGCTTGTACCAGATGGTCCTCACCATGACTGCAACATTTCCAACACACTCCAGGGAGTAGTCCACTCCTCCATCAGTCATCTCAGCCAGCACCTGGTTGATGGGTCTGCTGTGATCTTTGGGGTTCACAAACTCAGTGGCACCAAACACTTTGGCTTTCTCAAACTTCTCCGGGTTGATGTCAACAGCGATGATCCTTTTGGCTCCTGCAAACTTACAGCCCATGACTGCAGCCAGGCCCACAGCTCCCAGACCGAACACGGCGCAGGTGGAACCCGCTTCCACCTGCAGGACGACATGTTCACATTAGCTTACTGCATAGGGCCTCGATGTCCACATGGTGCCAAGAAAGACTTTCAGGTTCGACCTTAGCAGTGTTGACTGCTGCGCCGAACCCAGTGCAGACCCCGCAGCCAAGGAGGCAGACTTTATCCAGAGGGGCAGCCGGGTCGATCTTAGCCACTGCTATCTGGTTAAGAACCGTGTACTCAGAGAAGGTGCTGGTCCCCAAAAACTGCAGCAGCTTCTTCCCCTTGCAGCTCAGTCTGGTTTCTTCTAAAGCCATCACATCATAGCGGTCAGCGGCCCTGAGAACAAAAGTCACTGTCTGGCTTTAAACTGTAAAAATATTGAAGATCTGATGAATTCATGAATGAAGAGATCAACCTACCATCCTTTGACACACTGGTTGGTCTTTGGGCTTTTACAAAAGCGACACTCTCGACACTGGGAGATGAACAGAGGAATAACCTTGTCCCCTGAATATTAAAGAAGTCATTTAAAACATTACAATGGAGGACAAACATGAAATGATGTGACACTTTCTTTGGGCCTGTCTCAGCACCATCAGTCAGGATCAGAGGGGAAACTCTAATTGCTTCAGGCCGTTGAAGTTTGCCCCTTTAATGTTTGAACTTTGTGAGGAACGTTACGGTTTAATGTTTCCAGCTTTTTATTTTATTGGTTTCTGAGGGGAAACTGCAGTGAGAACATGAACTGATCCAGGTTCAAGGTTTTATTTTATTTTTGACTAAATGCTAACAGTGGAGTTGGTCAAGTCAAGGTGCTCAGGTTGTGTGGGGGCAGCATCACCCTTCCACCACCGTGCTTCACAGCGGGTACAGATCTGCTGCGTCTGGCTTCCCCCACCTTGGTCTCTACTCCAGTCTCATCTGTCCAGAGGACATTGTCCCAGAAGTCTTGTCCTTCTCCCAGATTTGGGTTTCCAGACTTGCGTCCTGCTGCCGTCTCGTTTCCAGAAAGGGTTTTTCCAGGTGGCATTGACACACAGCGCCAGGAGCAGCAAACAGCTCTGAGTTGGGTTTGACTCACCTGGCTGAAATTCAGTGACGCCGGGCCCAACGCTCTCCACTATGCCAGCTCCCTCATGTCCGAGAACCACCGGGAAGCCATCTTTGTGCATTCCCTCAAACAGGTGGTACAGATCTGTGTGGCAGACGCCTGTGGCCACGATCTGCAAACGGGGAAATGACTCCGCTTAATTCATTACTGAATCTGACAATATTTGCTGTTTGGTGAAGTTGTTAGCCATGCTAACGTCAGATCTAAGCAGCTGATGAAGGGACGATGTTCCAGCTGTACACATGGCGCCACATGGTTTCTATGGATCTGACCAGTATGGTGACACCAGCCCCTAACTGGGATCTTATCTGGGACAAGAACATGAGCGACTCCAGGTGGGCCATTCACATGAGGCGTGAACGTATGAAAATCATGACACATCTATAACCCAGCTGAGGCCCCAAGTCGACCCGCTTTGTTCTATGGAAGTGATTATGGGATGCCATCAGTTTGTAGATGTGAAACATTCAGGTTTTCTTTCTTCTTCAAATGGAAAGTTTCCAGGTGGGGGCTGGTGTTTCTCAGCAGCAGGAGCTGATAAAAACTGGGCTTTTGTCCAGCAGTAGCTGCTGCAGAGCAGCGGCCAGAGAGGTGGAGGGCCCTGGACAGACCAACCACTTATGGTCAAACTAGGACTTAGAAATTAATGACTTCTTTCTCTCATGACAGGCTAAATAACCCGAATTATTGCTGTTAATTTTTGACGGTTTAACTTCTCAATTCCAGTCTTCAGGCCCCTGCTCTGCATGTTTTAGATGTGCCTCTATTCCAGAACTGCTGATTCAAATGATTGCATGACCTTCAAGTACTGCAGAGGCCTGTTAATCACCAAAATATTGAATCCAGGTGTGTGGCAGAAGGGAAACATCTAAAACATGCAGGGCAGGGGGGCGTGAGGACCGGAATTGAGAAACACTGGGTTAACTGTGAGCAAACGGCACCGACAGGCTCTCTGCTGACCATCAACCTGACTGTCATGTGACTGGACTGAGGGAGGACAACCACCTGCAGAAAGAGCCCAAACTGGGATGTGAAGGTGTGGGTCACGTTTGTGGCCGGCTCACCTTGATGCGGACCTCGTTGGCCTGAGGAGGTGCCACCTCTATCTCCTCGATGACCAGGGGCTTGTTGGGCTCCCAGGCCACCGCCGCCTTGCACCTGATGACCTAAAGCAGGACGGACATCAGCTGGAATTGCTGCTTCTGCTCTTAAATTGTGTCTCAGGAAGGTTCCTGACAAACTGGAACCCAAAGGCTTTCAGGTTAAATTTCAAGAGTCTCTGTTTAAATCTCACTTTCAGGGGAGAATAAAACCATTTCTGAGAAAAGCAGAAATGAGACAGCTGATCAAAGTTCATGTTTTCCATGGCAAACACCTTCCCTTTAAGACAATTTAGTTGCATTTTATTCCATTATCAGAGTAAAACCCAGAGAAAATGACTATTTTCCTTGTGGATTTTTGTTTAAACATCCCAGATGACATTTTTCCTATTTTTCCCCCTTCGGCCCCTTTCTGGCCTCTGGCTGCTTAACGCCTGCCAATTTCTGCAGTTGCATAAAACTGTCAGGATAATTTGAAACCAAGTCAAAAATCCTCAAGCCACAAATGAGTTTAATTGTTTTTTCCAGCAAATCAGGAAAAATGTTAAAATGTTAAATGTTAAAACCTTCAGCAGTTTTATGGAGATTTGTCGACTTTGGTCGCCGATCCCGATTTTGCTTTAATGCAAACCATAAGTTTAACCAACACATGAAACAACTGCAGATGCATGTAGAGGTGCTGTGAAAGTGAAAAGTTAACCTACCTTACCAGCTGTAGCCATTTCTACAGAGTGAAACAGCCAGGAGGTTTGGACATGCTTCTGGGGGAACAAACAAAGTTTGGTTGAAATCCTGCAGCTGAAGCTGAAGTTATGCAACTGTGCAGACGGGGGGAGGTTCCCTGGACGGCTGTCAACGTATTGAATCTTTAATCCACCACTTATATAAAAGATAAGAGAAATAAAGCATCATGTATCATTTTGGCACAAATGTGCTGCCTCCCAACTGCTTCTCTTTCCACCTGTTCACCTTTAACCCACATCACTTTTACTATGGAAATAAAGGGTTTGAAACTATTGCCCGTTTGATCCAGACTGATTAGAATCTCTTCCTACTTTAGCCTGAAATTTTCCTGATTTTAACACAAAAAATACTGACTTTGTTTCCATCCAATTGTCCAGTAGATCACCTTCAGTTTTCTGCATATTTCCCCATTTATGTTTATATGTTTCTCATCAGATGTGGACAGTGGAGCAGTGATCTGGACTGCTGCCTTGCAGCAACAAGGTTCTGGGTTCAAATCCCAGCCTGGAGTCTGTGAAGGGTTAGCGTTAGCACGGCTTCCTCCCACAGTCCACAAACACGACTGTTAGGTGAGTTAGCTGCTGTAAACGTCCTGTAGGAATGAACGGCTGCCTGGTTGGCCGTCCTGTGACGGACTCCAGTCCAACGCAGACTGGCAACACGATGCATTCAGATGAAGTCTAGAAAGTTTATGGTCAGTTAAAGTATTTCTGATTTTTCAATCGTCATCTTTGTGTAGACCAGGACGTCCAGTTGCAGTTCTTGGTGTACTTACAGTTAATCTGTCAAACATCTCATGAAACTGTTTCCACTGTTGTTACAGATCAACGTTGAGAATATTGCAGTAGAACAGTTGTAATAAAAAGGCTGCAGGCATCTCCAGATGTGTATTGTTTTAATGATGTGCTGGTTGGACTGGAACAGTGGCAGCTCACATATGAACAGTTAGTGACTCTGGTGGAGATGATGAAATGCAAGGCGGTCAACAGAAACACGTCCAGCGCTCACGACTTCTGGTGAAGAAATAAACATGCTCAACATTTTCCAAATCTGCAAAACAATGACTTCGAGGCACTAAAGTCCATCAGAGAACATCTGGATCAGAACCGAGACAGAGGAAACCAGAAGCAGGAAATCAGCACAAACACCAGAGGCCAACAGTCCAGCACAGGGGTGGAGGAATGATGGTTTGGGCTCGTTTGACGGCAGCTTGCCGTCGCCTCGGCCCGTCCGCATCGCCTTCAGCGTTTCTCTGAGGCTGCAGGACATTAAGGGCAGGAAAGAATCCGTCCAACTGGACAAACATGTCAAAATCTGGAACATAAAAGATACCTGAAATACAACATCCTGCTCAACTCTGCCTCCAAGTGGCCCTTTGTGGTCCTGCGTCCTCTAACATCATAATCTGACAATGTTCTGCTCTAGGCGTCTGAAACTGTTTTATAATCTGGGAAAGGCCAGATCAGCTTGCTGGGATGTAGTGTGTAAACTCCAAAAACTGAAACTTTGCTTTTCAGCAGCAGGTTCTGATCTGATGCTGTTTTTAATGAAACAAGTATCTTCATCCTTCAAAAGCTCAGCACCCAGATGTTGAAGGATGTGACTTTAGACCAACCAGATGACAGGAGATATGAACACGTCATTCATTGTGCAAAACAAAGCAACAGGAAACTATTTTGTTGGTCAAAAACATCATATTTTACAGGCAGATGAAAAAGCTCAGCTGGAAAACATCCAGAAGTGTCAGCTGAAGACAGACCATCAGTCGTGGTTAAATGATAACATCATTGGTTTCTGTAACGTGAAGCGACGCCTGCCTCACAGAGTCTCATAAAAACACAGAGTGAGAAGAAGAGGCGCTTCTTTCAAGCTTGCTGCAGCTTTAAGGCGAAGTGCAGTTAGAGGCCAGGATGTGTGGCTGGGGGTTGATCGTGAGCAGGGACTTGTGCAACATCTCCATCCTCATGGAAGACTTGTGATGCATCTTGACCTGTGACCTCGTGTTAGTCATCGATGTCCTCGTAGACGCCGTCATCGAAGGGTCGCGCCCCAGACGGCTGGATCCTGTGACGCGAATACTTGAGCTGAAGAAGGTCACCGACCTCGCTGATGGCACTCAGCGCCTGTGGAGACATTTATGACCAAACGTTTCAGCTTTTAGCCCGAAGCAGCGAAGCAACAAACTTAGAAACATGCTGCGATGACGGCAGGCAGGAAATGGAACCGTCTTCAACACCTCAGCATCAGCTGCTGTTCTTCAGTCCGAGACTAACATTTTAATTTTCTTTGGTTCAACACAAATATTGAAATAGTCTGGATTCACCGTCATTTCCTCAGGGCGTCGTCACACAGGAACCAACAGGAAGCTACGGTCAGAGTTTCCCTCTCTGGATCTGAGCAGGAAAACCTTCAGATGCGTCGCCGTGTTTTCCCAGTCAGACTGAACTTCACCAGAAAGAACCTCTCGTTCACACGACCCGCATCCTGTGGCTCGGCAGTCGGGCCACAATTCACACTATTGCATAACCAGTGGAGGACGCTTTCTTGTTGCAGAAGAAGCCAGCACTGTCCTTCCACTTAACTTTCCACAGCTCTCTGAGTAGCGAACCTCTTTAGCAATGACTTCCAGGCCAAACCAGAACATTCCTGTTAGGTCTGGTCTGATCCTTCACTTTAACTTTCTTTGGCAACAGGAAAAGGTCCAACCAGCATGAAGATAAAACTCATCCCACAATCAGCCAGAACCATAAAGAGAAAACGTCGAGCCCTCCCACCGTCTGCAGCCGACCTCTCCAGGTGAAGCTCAACACATTTCTGCGGTCAGCAGGAGGAGACGCATGAGGATAAAAGGATCCAGGGTCACGTATCCGTGTGGATCAAGAAAACCAAGAGCTCAGCAGAGGAAGACGAAGCCGCTCTTCCTCTTCACCTCGTTTTGCTCTGCTGTTTTCACAAGGGAAGAAGAATCGGGTTTGACATCGGTTTACATGTTCCGGCTTTTCTGATCCATCTGAACACATCGACCGGATCCTGACTGAACCTGTGTGAGGCCTCCGCATCAGAAGTGAGGGCAACCTGGACTCTGTGGAAGCTGAAGTTTTAAATTCAGCAGGAATGAGGATTTGCTCAGAACCTGAACTAGTTGGAGGAATGGATCGAACCGCCTGCTGCAGCAGCTTCTCACCTGGTCCAGCAGCTCCCTGGAATGAGCGGCCGAGATGCAGAAGCGCGCCCGCGACTCGATGATGGGCGTGGCCGGGAAGCCCACCACCACCACGCCGATGTTTCTGCTCAGCATCTCGCGGCCGAACGCTCTGACGGGACACACAGGAGGGAAACGTCAGCGGCCGGCAGCCTGAGGTCAAAGGTCAGCAGCTGCAGCCTCACCCTATCTTGGCGGGCATGTAGAGCATCATGGGAACGACGGGCGAGTCGTCGTTCCCGTAGATGATGAAGCCCATTTCCCGAAGTCTCCGTCGGAAGTAGCAGGTGTTCTCAGCCAGCTGCCGGATCCGGTCAGAACCTGGACCAGAACAGACAAGAGCAGCTTACAGTGTGCAGAAAGAAAACACACCCTGGTCATTTCCTTAACAGAGACGTCTGGTAGAAAGTAAGTACACCCTGTGACTCCCTTCACCTTGCTGGTCCAGTTGGTTCTGTTCATGCAGGTTCCTGGTCAAAGGTCAGAGCACATCGGACCAATGTCACTTAAATCACTTATTAAGACTCACTTCTTTGGCCTGACCTTTGACCCCATGGGAAATGCTGATCTTAGTTTTGGGTTATTTTATTTTCATATTCTATGTTGTGCCTTTATTTGTAATTTGTAAAAAAAAAAAAAAAAAAAAAAAAAAAAATAAAAATAAAAATCAAAAAAAATTTTCCCAGTAAAAAGAGGGGCGT